CCCCAAAACCCCAAAACCCCGGGAGCTTTTAATAAAGAGAATTAAGCAATTTAGTATATTATATAAAATAGATAAATATGACAGACTTTCCCAAACTTGATATTAGTATGGGTGAATATTATAAATTATTATTGGAGGGAAGAAGGCCTATGAGAACAAGAAATCCAGCATCCTCAGAATAATAAAAATCTTCTAATCAAGCAAACCAAGCACCTCAATAGTAGTTAATCTAAAGACCCAGACGTTAGGAATCACAGCCAGAACGTGGTCAGAAGCCAGCAGAAAAGAGCGCCTAAAATGAAAGACATGTCCATGGTAGATCTTTAAGAAATTAAATTTCCACTTCATTAAACAAAAAAAGAGATGATAAAGAGAAAGAAAAGCATAAGCTTAAGGATAAGAGGTTTAAAGAATAGATTAAGACTAGAAAGCAGCATATGACCTCTCAAAATACTATTTCTGTAATGAAACACAATATCATTAAAGTCCAAGATGATAATGGTGGTATTGGCTCTGATGTACTTAAGCTCCAACAATAAACTTAAAATATGCTTAAAGAGAAGAAGAAATTCAAGAGTCTTGAACGTGAATTAGAAATGAAGGAGGAATCAAAGAAAGAAGAAGATGAAAAGCTGAAGGATGATAAAAGAGTCATTGAAAAATTTGAAAGTATTGATCCACATCCAGTTTACGCAGTTGGAAGATTTGTGGTTTAAACTTAAAACAAATTCACAGTCCACTAAATTATAGAATATAATTAAGAATAGGACAAATTTATATTAGATAGTGAAGACCCTGAAAATTCTTAAAAGAGTCCCAATCAAGTACTATTTCTTTCAAAAGTATTTCTAGCCAAAGTCTCATCGATTGAAAATTTAAGTGAAAAAATTACAGAGCTATTGAATAAAGGCGCCAATTAAGAAAACTATATATTAATTCAGCAAATACTAAAACAAAATAGACAAGAAAACTAACTTGATTTTGTTTCTCTTGTACCGACTGCCAAAAAGGAAAAGTTTGAAGCCATTGAAATAAAGCTTAAAGATTAAGTAAACTTTCAAAAAGACCTAAGGGAGTTTGAAAATGACATTCCTACTAATTAATTTAAACTAGCATATCAAAGAGATCAAACACAGACTATTGTTGAAATTTCTAAAAACCTGAAGGAATCCTTCAGTGATTACCTTGAAGGAGTCAGAGCCATATAAATTAACAGAGATAACATGAGATAGATGGCACTAAGTATAGTAGCCTATGATCAACACAATAATGAAAACAAATCGCATCATAGATAAAAGTTAGGAATCTTATTAAGAATTAAATATGATCCACACTTCCAAGACTATATGATTCTTCTGAGACTATTAAACCATAAAAATACTCAAAAGGAAAGAACAGACTGGTTTCAGCTATCTAAATATTCATTTAAAGCAGATTTAACTAGAGGCTATGTATCTATGGATTACTTAAAGAATTTGGAAAATGTAAATAATGCCGGGCAAAAACTTAAATTAAGAATGTTTTAAATGGTTAGCTACAGGGAATCCTAGTTATAAAAATAGGCTTTGAGAGATATAAGTGATATCTAAGATCATTCTGAACCTCCTAGAAAAGCAACTATTTTGAAAGATAGTAGTCATGAAAGATGTTCAAGTTGTAACTATATTACAGATGAAATTGATCATCTAAAATGCTTCAATTGCCAGAAAAATTATCACTTTTAGTGCCTCAATAACCCAGTTGTACATTCTTTGCTCGGAATAAGAGAGAATGAATGGAAATGCCAGGAATGCATTAGATGCGCCAATTGCTTATCAATGAGGAATAGAGATCAAATGCTAGTTTGCTAGAAATGCAACACTGGTTATCATTTTGATTGCTTAGATTAAAGTGTGAAGCTCGGAGTGCCTTCAATAAGTTTAGTAGAAAAGGATCTTAAAACTGGAGTTGAATCTAAGAAGAGTACATTTGCTTAATTAAACTAGCATTACAAATGTGAGCAATGTGTCGAATGTGAATAATGTGGTTCCAAAGAAGCTGGAGAGAAGAGAATTAACAAATGGTCAAAAGATTATAAGCTTTGCTCTTCTTGTAATAAGAAAAGACAAAATAAGCAATATTGTTTAGTATGTGAAAGATTCTGGCCTGATAATACTCAGTAAATTCAATAGTAAAACTAAGGGGAAGAACAAGAAAATGTTAATCAAACGATTTAGTGCATAAAATGTGAAATGCAAGTACACTTGCATTGTGACAGAATATTCTAACTTTTAGATGCAAAATAAAAATTTAATGATAGCATTCTTCAATATAATTGCTAGAAATGCAGATAAAATATAAGAACTTAACTTATAACCTAGGTAATAGATGCTTTAGCCATTGAGGATAAAAGTTCATTTTTCTAAGAGCCTGTTGAAGAATACGTGTAAAACTATACCAAGATCATCAAGACTCCAATGTGCTTTAAATATGTTAAACAGAGAATTTAGACTTACTTGAGGAATCCTGAGCAGCTGAAATCTGATGTGAATCTCATATTCTAAAATGCTATTACCTATAATCTTCCAAAGTAAAGAGTTCATAAGGAAGCATTAAAACTCAAAGAAATCTGCAGCAACCTACTATCGAAATATTGGATTAAAATAGAAAAGAGTAAGCTGAGAACCATAGATGAAGATGCATTTTAGCAAAGAATAAAAGACTAAATACAAGCAGAAAAGCAAGGACAAGCATTTAAATAGATTCCTGATGAGATGCTTTTTATGCTACCTCTTGAAGAATCATTAGAAACTATAGAACATATGGCTCTAAAAAGTAATGTCTATGGATCACCAACTAGAGAGTAATTTGGATCAGCAAATGCTGCATTGGCTAATTCTTAGGTAAAAGAAGAAATGGATGTTGAAGGAAGTGACTTTGATGATAATGTCCAAAAGGTATAAAAAGAAAATAGAAATCAGCAAGATCTTGTAGGGGAGGAAAGTGAAGACCAAAATATATCCTAAAGTATAGGAGATTCACATTCTGTTGCTGGATTTAGAGATCCTTAAATGGGAGGTATAACCAAAAATCTTAGAGTAAGAAAGTAGATCAACTACAATGAAGATAGATTATTAGCTGCTGGTATTGGAGCAAATCTGTTGAGTAATCCTAATAATGATCTTACTCTAAGTGGAAGTAAAAGAACACATGGAAATGCTTTCAAAAGCTAGAATGTCTAAGAATAGGAAGACTAAGATTCCCCATTTACAGTGAATGGAAATTCAATTAAAAATCTCAAAAAGTAGAGATAAAACCAATTTAAACTAGATCCTGATTTTATCCCATCAAATTATCAACCAAGACCACTAAACACTGCTACTCTTCTTTAGCAAGCATTAAACTCTGATCAAAGGTTACTATTAGATGTTGAAGCAGGTAAGCCAGATTAAACTAAAGAGGTTACTCAAATAAATCATGTGCAATAGCAACAATAAATGATGATGAGCTATTATTAGGAGATTGATGATGAAAAATGCTACTATTCTAACCCAGCAAGATGCTCCTTTGATGATCCTTCTCTTTTATTCGAGGAAATGTGTTACCTTTGTGGTTCTTTCGGAAACAGGCAAGATTTTCTCTCTTGCACTCTATGTGGAGAGTCATTCCATACTTATTGCTTACAGCTACCAGATGATTAGGTAGCTAAATTTTAAAACTACTGGAAATGCTTGAACTGTAAATTCTGTGAAATTTGCGCCTCAGCCACTTAAGAGGCCTTTTTACTTTATTGTGATGTATGTGATAAAGCTTTCCATTCTCATTGTTTAAGGCCTTAATTAAAAAGCATTCCAAATTGTCAATGGAAATGCTAATAATGCTTTAAATGCTAATAATGTGGAACAAAAGATTTCTTTAGTGAAAAAGATACCGAAGAAAAAAAGAACTTAGATGTAACTGATTTTGAATTTTCTCAAAACTTCTCATTCTGCTATTAGTGTGGCAAGAATGAGTATAAGAAATCCTTTTGCAAAATTTGTTAAAAGAAAACAGATGATTCAGATACTGAGTCAAAGTAAGAGACATCTCGAAAAAAATCTAGCATTCATCACTAATCATTATCACTTCCGTTGAAGCTTAAAAATAGCAAAGTAAAGAATGACAAAGATCAAATGATGAAATGTGTATAATGTGGATTTTATTCTCATTTTAGATGCTCAAGACTATTACCTTAATTTGGAAATAATTCCATTAATGATCAAGATTATGAACTTGAAACTGATTAAGAAATATTAAAAGATTATAAGTGCCTTGAATGTTTACTAGCTGGCAAGACAATTAATCACCTTATTAGAGAGACTTGCGAATAATACGAAAATATTCATTAAATAATATCAAGGCAAAAATTATTGGCTTAACTTTGTTAGGAAATACTTAATAAGTATTTCCCACTTTAAGACAAAGCTCCCCTCTTCATCAAAAGCTTTATTGATCAAAATTAAGAATTCTTTAGAAAAGATGAATTAGTAAATTAATGGTTGAATCTTTTAGAGACTAATGTTTGCTTTGAATAAATAGAACCTGAAATAAACTAGTAAGATCCTAATGTAGACTTGCAACCTAATGATCAAGTAAAATAAAGTGATGAAGAATAAGAAAACAACGAAGTAGATTTAGATAAAGAAAAGAATTAAGAGATGGAAGATTTAGATATAGATGGTAAATAATTATTGGATGAAGGGTTAAAAGATGATTTCGTGGAAGATAAAACAGAAAAATTTGAGAATTAAGAGGGGAAAAATCCAGTATTAAGATAGAAATCAGAAGTTATCTCTAAGAAATGGAATGACATTAATTTATCTGATGCTTTGAAAAAGTTTGAAAAGAATTAACCCAAGGATAAAGTATTGACTTAATCACAGAAAATTTACCACTAAATGTATGGTCATAAAGAAACATTCTTACCAGAGAAGAGAAATCTTTATTAGTCTCTTAGTCTAGGAAATTTACATAGATTTGGTCAAAGAGAACATTTCATAAAACCAGATGAATTAAAGAATTTGATAAGCATACCAAATGATGAGAATTTGAATAAAGTTAATTTCGCTGAAGAATATGTTCAAATCGAATTCAAAGCAATAATGAGAGTAAAAATGCATTTTTTCAGATGGTTTGAGGATCTTATAAAGTCAATACTAAAAAATAACATGAAGTTTATGAGAAAAAAGAAGAAGTAAGAATTATAATTCAGATAATCAGAAGATTAATCAGAGGAAATTATAACAACTTCTCATCATAATCATCATCATAATCATGCTTAATAAAGTGAGCAAGCATTAGAAATTCTTAGATCAAGTTCCTTAAATAACTAATTGTCTGAAGATGATATGTGTACTTAAGAAGATTCCATTATACAAAATCCCTAGATCAAATTGTAATGCGTTTTATGTAGACTATTTGGAGAATTAAATGTCACAGGAAGACTAATACCTTTCTAGGTAAATTAATTTGTTCACGTTAACTGTGCATTATGGTCAACAGATGTTTATGAAATTGGTGATGGTTAACTAGTAAATTTCTTCTTTGTATAGAATGGTAAAGCTAGACTTACTAGATGTATCCTCTGTGGTGAATCTGGAGCTACTATAGTCTGCTTTACGAGAAAATGCAATGCAGCTTTTCATTTCCCTTGTGCTTATAGAGAAAACAAAGTTTCATTCATGAGAACTAAAGAGACTTACTGTGATATATGTTCCAAGTAGAGAGATTTTAAGATTGGTTATCTCTCAGAATTCTCAACTAAAAGACGATTCTAAATAGCTAGAAATTAGATACCCTGGAATATGTCAATAATGTTCTAGCCTTAGCCAGGATAGAATCAAAATAATCCATTTGCTGCAAATACCTAATTAATAGCTCTACAATAAACCTAAATGCACTTAAATAATATCTCAAACCCAGCAGATCTTGAAAAACCATTGCAAATAGAAAAATGGAGGCCATTTTTCTATGACATGTTTAATAGAGTAGGTAATTTGACAGTACTGAGCTTGAAAAAAGAAATCAATCAAATCATTGAAGATACAATTTATGGGTCGAAAAGAGAAGTTAATATAGACCTTCTTACAGATTTTGCTGCAATCAGAGTTTACTGGAAATTTTATTAGGACTTTCAAATGAATGAATAAGAAGATGAATCTGTTCCACCTATCAATATGAGAAAGAGTTATTTCATGTACTGCAATAACACGATCAGAGAAGTTATGAAGAATGATCTTTAGTCTTTAGTTTAATTCGCTAGTGAAAAGATAAGAGAAAGAATATTGTTTGGAATCTAGCAACAGTAAATCAATAATATGCAAATAGATTATGATACAGAATCTTCATTCATTCCAATTAATCAAACAGGTAAATACTTTATAGCTAACTTTATGATAGTCTTTTGGCAAAAAATCATGCAGCACTTTCAAAGAGAAAGACCTAATTTCACTCTTTAAAACATTATTTTCTCAATTTCTGAATTTGGAGGGAAAACTAAATACCCTATATCTGTTTGGAATAGAGCGGAAGTGAAAAATAAGAGTTTCTTTTTGAAATCTGGTTTTTAAGTCCTCTAAATTCAGACTTAGAATGTTGATAGAGAATCTCAGAGTAACCAGCAAGCTACAAAAGTAATGAAAAATATTTAATTTATTTACAATAGAGAACTGAAGGAAAGACAATTGATGATGTTTTTAAGAGAATGGTAAAAATAAACTAGATGGGGGAGAATTAAAATCCAATGACGTCAATGAAGAGATTAACCTGTAGTAAGAATATGAAGTATGAGACTATGCTCAATACACTTGGAAAGAAAATGTTCTATACTAAAAGTCATTAAGAGGAAATGAATCAAAATAATAATCAGAAAACTGCATTAGCGAAAAAAATCAGACTAACAGACACTATTGATACTGTATTTATTCCAGTTTTTATTGATGATTATAGAACAAGGAAATTGATTTACCAATCGCAATGAAGTATAGATTGAGCAAAGCTTAACCAAAGAGAGTTGAAGTTGGACCATCAAAGATTCATAGAAACGGATTGTTTACATTAGAAGAGTAATAAATATTTCACTAATTTTATAGTCTAATGCCTGGAGATATTGTCATAGAGTACGTAGGTGAAAAGATAAGAAATAAAGTAGCTGATAAAAGAGAAATTTATTATGAGCAAAAGGGTATTGGTGATTGCTATCTTTTCAGATTGGACAAGGAGTATATCATTGATGCAACATTCTTTGGTAATAAGGCAAGATACCTTAATCACTCCTGCGATGCTAACTGCTCAGCCAAGATTATTAATGTTTAACAACAGAAGCATATTATTATTTCAACAAATAGGCAAATTAAGTCAGGTGAAGAACTCACTTATAATTATAACTTCGACTATGAAGCTGATAAATTGGAATGCTTTTGTGGTGCCCCGACTTGTCAGGGAAGATTAAATTGAGAAGAAATTAATTATATTTCATTTAACATTTTTTGATTATTTTCTTCTGCAAATTCGCTAAACTATGGGGTTTTGGGGTTTTGGGGTTTTGGGGTTTTGGGGAGATCGGAAGAGCA